CCATTGCATCCTTTGCATTTTCGCCAATTCGAGCATCACTTTGGGATTGATTAGAGAGATTTGTATCAGATACATTCATACTGTTCTGCAACAATTAGTGAAAGTCTACTAGACTTTGACCAATATTGGTGAAAGTTCACAAAACATTCGCCAATATTAGTGAAAAGCGGGAGCTCCTCAGTTGTCAATTAAAACTTTCAAGATTTCTTCAAAAAGATCAATACTTAAATCATGCTTGACAAATAAATACAAATGCATTTTTATAATTTTTCCGAGCTTTTTATACATGATCTGAGAATTAATAATCTATCATAGAATGGAAATGAGGAAAAACGTTTTTAAATAAAATAAAAATCTATCGAAAATATCATTTGGTAAGTTTCTTAATTTCTTTTACTGCGAACAAAATGAAACTCACTGAAGCAAGTCAATTTCATATTATTTTTTGAATAGAATATTTTCTAAGGGACTTTTGTTTAGTTTTCATTAGCACTAGTCTTTTTTTCTCTTCTATTAAAGAAAAAGTGGAGTTTAATTTAGATTGTTACTTTTGGAAGTTGTTGTAACAGTTTGATAAACCGCAAACGAAGAATTTTCATTTGAAAGTCTGATAACCATAACTCCAGTTATAATATCCCATTTGTGCAAATTTTTTACATGTTGTATAATCACAACAATTTCATCATCAGGAACCCGCTCGACGATGATGATTGGTGCATTGGAATCAATATTAAAACTTGTATTGATTAATTTGATATTTTTAAGTAATTGTTGATAAAGTTGCGACTCAGTTTCATCATCATCGTCGTCATCATCATCGCCGTCATCATCATCGCCTGAGATCAATTTGGAGATGCTACTTGAAAATGATTTAATACGTTCTTGATATTCATATCCACCAAGAATAATGGTTGTCCTATAATTCAAAAACAATAACAAATAAACCAAAAGTTATAGATGGATTTTAAAAAAAGATTCTCGATTTTCATGAATTACATCTCAAAAACACGACCCAAATGGCATTTTTGATGATGAAAGGCATATAAAAGTTGATACATTTCAATTACATTAATCAAAAAGCGAACATTTTCATCTATTCAATTTCATAATTTTGATTAAAAATCAATTTCATTTTTATAAAATTCAGTAATATTAATCAAACTATTTATCGTTCAAGTTTTTATGAACGATCGAATGAGTTAGTATAGCAATACTATTTATGTTTTAGTTAGCAATTAGATAATGTTTATTGATTATTATATCTTTTAATATAAAATTTCAAAATAAACTACTTGATATATTAGTATTCTAGAATGAATTCTCCTGAATACTACTAGAATTTTTTTGTTCTATTGGAAGTGAAACTAATTTCCTCAGTGAAATAAACAATGTACGAGAAAGGTAAAAAATAATAAAACTGAATCAATTGATTGAAGTATTTTCGTGCAAGGATATGTATATTATGATACTAATTGATTAGAGATAAAATAAATCGAAGCCTATTTGATTCATATTGAAACGATTTATTTTCTGAAGATTCTTTTTCAAACAGACGTCTTTCTTTCATAAACTATCAATAGAATTAATTGAACATCGATGTTAATTTACATTTAATTAGTTTCTAAATAATTATATTGAATTCATTATATTTGATGGTGTTTGTTTTTTTTTCTATCGAATATTAAATTTACTTTTCTTAGGATATTTGATGTAAATCTTAAATAGGATTAGATAAAAATATTACTTGTCAATTTTTCTTCGATAACATATTGAAAGTACCAATTTATTGAGAGAAACAAAGATTTCAATTGACATACAGAATTTATCGAAAAATCAAGTGAAAGTATGCCCTTTTTAAAATCTGTTATATGAATTATTTTTAATGAAAAATAATCGAAATAAATAGTATTTATGAATATATCTTGATTATTTTTATTTATATTAATTCATGATACGTTTCTGTTAGAATCGTCTCAATTCATTTTTAATTGAATCAAATATATGAGAAACTGAGTTGTAAGCAAAAAGTTTTATATGCATATTTTTCAGCACATTTGATCTACGAATTCATCCATTACAATTACATCATATTTCTTTATGTCAAGAAGTAATCAAAATAAATACTTATATAGCGAAATGTTAAACCTTTTTTATTTTGTTTATCAATAGTTCATCGAATCTCTCGAGATCATTTAAATTTTATTTTCTACTACTGAATGATTTATCATCATTTTTGCCTCTTGTAAAGATTCTGAGTCTATTGTGATGTATATATGTATATCTTCAATCGTGGCATTCACGACCTTTCAATCCTCAGGCTTATATGTATAGTCTTTCTCTTACTTGATTTTAGCTGTATGAGGATATGATATCACATGTTGAATAACATTCTTCAAACAGAGTCGCACATTTTTTATTGTAAAATTTGACGACAAATAATTATCACTACGATGCTCCATAAATATTCTTCCATCATCAAGAAAAATGATAAAGCAAATACATGGACCAATACCTACAGTTGATAACTCATAAGTTTTACAATAATACAAATCTAGTTGGTTATTAAGCTTTTCTTGTTTTTCTCCAAAAAAAAGTTTTTTTTTTATTTCTTTGTTGTCAAAGAACAGCTTTCTCAAATACTTGTGGAATATTCAAATGTGTTTGTGTCATTATACGTATTATAGTGAAATAAGAAAAAATGAAAAAACAATCACAAAATTGTGTATATCTGTTTTTTTGCTTTTCAACGGATAGATAGTGGAATTGAAGAAGAAAACAATTGAATCTTTTACTTTGTCTTCAATAGTCATACCTACATTCAATTTGATTTTCAGTCTATTTATTCCACAAACAGGAGAAAGACTTACATATGACTTTTTTGATTATTGTTTTCTTTCACTTTCCTCATGTTTTTTATCCCCCACTAGTATAGATAATTGTAGCAACACATTTCATTTACTATGAGTTTGTAACGAAATTGCTCTTCCGAAAAAAGTGGCAAATAAAACTTGTACAAAAACAAGAAAAAGTTAATCATCAATTATAAATATCGTTACCTCTTGTACCTAGACAATTCTCTGATATGTCATAGTGATCCATTTCAATATCATTAATTTGATGCAACTCCTTTGACATGTCCTTTTTTTGAACAAGAACAAAAGAACGAATATAGAAAAAAGCAGATAATAATCAGATAGAGTGAGCCTAAATGATGAAAGTAATACTTTTTGGGTATTTTCGATATTCACTTCGCGACAAACTATATATAGTTTTCCTATTTTTTCTTTTCTTTTCTTTGTATATGACATGTTACATGGACAACAAAATTACAGTAAACATTTAAAGAATAACTGTTCAATACATATCAACTGACTTGAAATTTTTGATCTGATGCAGAGTTGATGAAAATTATATCATTCGAAAGAGCGTGAAAAACTGAGTATTGGGTACAAATTTTCAAAAATGAGTACACTATAGCCTCCAACAGATTTTTTTGAAAAATACATGTCTCAACAAGAATTGCTCTTATCTTTTTTTTCTTTTTGTTGTTTTCTCTCTTATGCGTTCTCTTTCTCTTCCTGCACATGCGCTAGCGTTCACGTATATAATTGTTCATGTACCATATACACTCGTTAGGGGTAATTCGGATCAAAAATTAGAAAATCGATTTTGTTTTTATTCGCTCTCAATCATTGTACGTCGTAACAAGTCATATACAAAG